GGATGGCAAGGAGAGAGAGAGTATGACAGAGTAAAGAAGTGAGAGGCGTGTGTGTGGACATGAGTGGTATGTGTGTGGGTTTATGAGGGACAGATAGATATCTCAGGAGTCCCAGGGACTGGTAGATTGGGCTCTCCTAGAGGGGAAGGCCCTATTACCACCATGGGCACCCCAAGGCCTGCTTGGCTTTGGTGCAGAACACACACCATCTTATAGAGGGGAGCAACGGAGGCCAGGAGGGCTGCCACACCAACATCCAGACCGAACTCAGACAGCACCCTCAGACCTGTGCAGGGAGCCGCTTGCCAGCCATAACCTGCGTGGAAGACCACCATGCTGCAGCAGTGAGCATCACAGTACCCGACGTGGGAATCAGATGTCTGCAGTGAGAACACACCAAACAGACCTCCAGAGCTGTGCCTCCTAGCCAGTGCCCAAACCCAGAATCCCAGGATCCCAACTTCAGGTCACCACGCTATGAGTGCAAGCCACTCCCTGCTCCATCCCTGATCCCAATACAGAACTGCAGCCAGGTGCATGCTACAACCTCTGCCCAGACAAAGCCCTTGCCTAGTGAGCAGGCTGCAGACAGAGCGTGCTCTGCCACCAGCACAGACAGAGCCCTTGCGGGGCAACTGCCCCACCCCCAACCCAGACAGAGCTGCAGTCCAGTGTGTACTATGCTCCCAGCAGAGACAGAGTCTTGGGCTGCTGGGTGCTCTGGCATCAGCACAGACAGAGCCTTCAGCTAGTACACACCCTACCCCTAGCACAGACAGAACTGTGACCTAGCATGCGCCCTCCCCTCATCCCAGGTCAGAGTTGCTGGTGGACCTGGTGTGCCCAACCTCAGGTCACAGAACCACACTGAAAGTGCACTGACAGAGGGACCTAGCACAACATCCCACCTTAGGGGCTGGAGCTGCATAGCGGATTACATGCCAGAGGGCTCTGGGCCCTCACAGTCACACACCAGAGGAACTGTATACCCACCTGTACCAACCCCAAGAAATGACTAACTGAGGAACCAGAACCATGGGAGAAGGAGGTACAACTCAGAGCAGAGACAATAAAGGTGTAAAGCTCAAGGCATACCCATCCCCCAAGGCTAGCGAGTTTAAGACCATTAGACTACTAGGGACTTTAACCCCTTGGACCTCAAGCAGGGAGCACAGGGCCAGAAAGAGACAGCAAAAATGGAGAGACAAAGAAACAAACCCCAAAGGAAAGAAAAGGAAATAATTGCCAGAAGAAGAACTAAATGAAACAGAGGCATGCAATATGTCCGAAAAGGAATTTAGAGTCAATCAGGGTCATACAGTTCATAAACCAGATGGATGAGAATATCAACAACTATGTAAGGATCAAGAGGAAATACAAAATTGATATAGCTACAATAAAAAAAAACATGATGGAAGGTTTCAACAGTAGACTAGAAGAAGTAGAGGACCAAATTGGTGAGTTAAAAGACAGGGCAGAGAAACACACCTAATCTGAACAGCAATTGGAGAAAAAAATTAGAAAGGAGGATAGCCTAAGGGACCTTTGGGAAAACATGAAACGAAGTAACATATGTATAATAGAAGTGCTAGAAAGACAAGAAGAGGAGCAAGGATTAGAAAACCTATCTGAAGAAATAATTACAGAAAACTTCCCTGATTTAGGGAAGAAAAGTCACACAAACACAGAGTCCCGAACATGATGAACATGAAAGACCCACACCAATACACACTGTAATTATAATGGTAAACGTTAATGACAAGGAGAGAATCATAAAGGCTATAAGAGACAGAGAGTTACCTACAAGGGATGTCCCATTAGATTATCAAATGATTTATCAACAGAAACACATCAGGCCAGAAGGGAATGGAATGAAGTACTCAAAGTGATGCAAAGCAAGGGTCTGAATCCAAGAATACTCTACCCAGCAAGGCTATCATTCAAAATTGAAGGGGAAATCAGGAGCTTCGCAGAAAAAAAGAAAGGCTAATGGAGGTTATCACTACCACATTAGCAATTCAAGAAATGCTAAAGGGATGGTTGTAAAAAGAAGAAATAGAAAGGGAAGAAGGAACACAGGCATAAAGAATAAAAATGGCTACAAACAAGTACCTATCAATAATAACCTTAAATGTAAATGGACTAATGCTCCAATCAAAAGACATAGAGTGACTGAATGGATAAGAAAACATGACTCACCTCACAACAAGGGCTCACACAGACTGAAGGTGAAGGGATGGAAAAATATTTTCCAGGAAAATGGAAATTTTTTTTAAAAAAAAGCAGGGGTAGCAATACTTTTATCTGACAAAATAGACCTCAAAGTGAAGGCCATAGCAAGGCATAAGGAAGGCCACTTCATAATAGTAAAGGGATCGATACAACAAGAGTATATAACTCTGGTAAATATAAATGCACCCAATGCTAGAGCACCCAAATACATAAAAAAATACTTCTGGAAGATATCAAGGGAGAGAGAGACAGCAATATAATCATAGTAGGGGACTTTAATATACCATTGACATCACTGGATAAATCCTCTAAACAAAAAATGAGCAAAGAAACAGCAATCCCATATGACTCACTAGATCAGATAGACTTAATTGAAATCTTCAAAACATTTCACCCCAAAGCTACAAAATATACATTCTTCTCAAGTGTGCATGGGACATTTTCAAAGACCACACATTGGTACACAGGCAAAGTCTCTCCAAATTCAAGACTGAAATAATATCAAGTATCTTCTCAGATCTCAATGGCATAACATTAGAAATCAACTACAGCCCTAGCTGGTTTGGCTCAGTGGATAGAGTGTCAGCCTATGGACTAAAGGATCCCGGGTTCGATTCCAGTGAAGGGCACATGTCCAAGTTGTGGGCTCGATCCCCACTGGTGGGCATGCAGGAGGCAGCTGATCAATGATTCTTTCTCATCATTGATGTTTCTATCTCTCTCTCCCTCTCCCTTCCTTTCTGAAATCAATAAAATATATTTTTAAAAAACTGAATAAAAAAATAAATAAAATGCCATGGAGAACGATGGGAAGTTAGTGTTTCTAAAAAAGAAATCAACTACATAAAAACAATAAAAAAAATTCAAACACCTGGAGGCTAAATAGCATGCTATTAAACAATGATTGGGTTACCAAAGAGATCAAAGAAGAAATAAAAAAAAAAAAAATCCTGGAAACAAATGACAATGAAAACACAACAATCCAAAATCTATAGAACACAGTGAAAGCAGTCCTGAGAGGGAAGTTCATAGCATTACAGGCCTACCTCAAAAAAAACCCCAAAAAACCAAAAAAAACAAAAAGAAACAAAACAAGAAAAACTAGTAATAAACCATCTAACTATGCAACTTGAAGAATTAGAAAGAGAGCAACAAGAAAAGCCCAGAGTGAGCAGAAGGAAGGAAATAATAAAGATCAGAGTGGAAATAAATGACACAGAGACAAAAAAAACCAAAACACACACACACACACACACACACACACAACAACAACAACAAAAAAAAACAATACAAAAGATGAATGAAACCAAGATCTGGTTTTTTGAAAGCATAAACAAGATTGATGAAGCTCTAGCCAGGCTCACCAAGCAGCAAAGAGAGAGGATCCGAATAAACAAAATCAGAAAGGATATATGCACCCCCATGTTCATAGCAGCACAACTTACAATAAAGAGCTAAAATTTGGAAACAGCCTAAGTGCCCATCAGTAGATGAGTGAATTAAAAAACAGTGGTACATCTACACAATGAAATACTACACTGCTGTAAAAAAGAAAGAACTCTTACCATTTGCAACAGCATGGATGGACATGGAGAGCATTATGCTAAGTGAAATAAGCCAGTCAGAGAAAGAAAAAATTCACATAATCTCACTCATTTGTGGAATTTAATGAAAACATAAACTGATGAACAAAAATAGAACCAGAGACATAGAAGCATCGAACAGACCATCACACTTCAGAGGGAAGATAGGGGAGGGGGGCGAGGGGGAAGAGATCATCCAAAGGACTTGTATGCATGCATATATGTATAACCAATGGACACAGACACTAGGGGGGGTGAGGTCAATGGAGAAAAAAGGAGATATATGTAATACTATATGTAATACTTTAAACAATAAAGAGTTTTTTTAAAAAAGGAAATTGTGGAACAGAGACCAAATTATGAAAATAAAAGTACAGGTCTTCAAAAACAATTTCTTGTCATTTCTGATTTTAAAGAATTAATGAAAAGCTAAATTTTAACGAAAAAAAGATGTGCATAACACATTGACTGGAATGCCATACAGAGAAAAAAATAGTGTGATTCCTGCCATAAAAAGGATTTTACAGTATAAAAGAATTCTTAAGTATAAATGGGTCTCCCGAGTCTCTCATTCCTCTAGTACAGTGGTTCTCAACCATCTGGCCCTTTAAATACAGTTCCTCATGTTGTGACCCAACCATAAAATTATTTTTTGTTGCTACTTCATAACTGTAATGTCGCTACTGTTATGAAACGTAATGTAAATATCTGATATGCAGGATGGTCTTAGGCGACCCCTGTGAAAGGGTAGTTCAACCGCCAAAGGGGTCGCGACCCACAGGTTGAGAACCACTGCTCTAGTAGGAAAAGAGAACCCAGAGGGGATGTTAGCACCCACCACAGTAATGGACTGCAAATTATAGAAGAATCAAATTTCTGTAAATTAAATTTTAAGGCTGGCCAGTGTGGCTCAATGGTTGAGCATTGACCTATGAACCAGGGCACATGCCTGGGTTGCAGCTTGATCCCCAGTGGGAAGCATGCAGCAGGCAGCCAATCAATGATTCTCTCTCATCATTGACGTTTCTATCTCTCTCCCTCTCCATTCCTCTCTGAAATCAATAAAAATGTATTAAAAAAATTTTTTTTAACCTAGCCAGTCAAATTCATACCAGTAAATTATAATATAAGAAAGAGGTAACCTGAGTTCAAAATAACTGAATCTGACAGGCCATGTATACTCACTTTCGCTGTAGCAGAAGGCAGTAATCAACTATGACAGGCACCATATCCTGTATAGAAACCATAAAGAAAGCATCAGCATCATATATTTGTCCAATGGCTCACTGGTTAGACACAACATAAAATGAAAGTGGTCTGTTTAAGACTTCTGGGAGAATATAACTCTATACCATGTTTCTGGTAAACAATTTGGCAGTATGTGTCAAAAGTCGTAGAAATGTGAAAATACTTTACAGTAATTCTATCTAAAAATGTATCCTAATACTTTTAAGAAAAAAATTTATAATGCATTAAGGTATTCACTTCTGTATAGAGGCAGGAGAAGGAGGATAGGAGGAAGAAATCAGAATTAAATAGAATATATGAAAATATAATACAGTAAATTTGCTGTTTAAATAAAATATTATGTAGATATTACAAATTTATAAAGAGTTTACAACAACCTTATGATAAACATTAGGTTAAAAATGTGTATTTATGTCACAATTTTGTAAATTTGCAAAGAAAAGAACAGAATAAAATACATCAAATGATAATAGGATATAACTAGTACTGTTGGTAGCTCAGGTAATGAAGGTTGTCCATATTTTGTCATAATCTTCCAAGCTAGTTATTTTAAGTTAATTTAACTTCCCAGTTTCATAATATTTTGATTGCTTTAAATTCATCATGTATAGATTCATATCAAGTGAACAGCAACCCATAATTTTGGCCTTTTAAAGAGAAACAGTTTGAGGGAGAAACAGCTTATTATGACTGAAAATTGTCACAAAACCAAGCATCAGATTTCAGCACTACTCTTTTATTTTCTGCTGGCTGCATAGAGATGGCTTTCTTTTTAAAAAATCCTAGAAGGCCTGAGTTATTAGCAGGAAAAAAATCCCATCAGGCGGGAGAAGGCACTATGTGAAGAAAATGCTATCTGCTAGCACTTGTTTGACAAAAAAAGAAAACTGAGGAACACTTATTTGAGATTAATATCATATAAGGGAGCTATAATGCTGAAAGCATTATAGGGCTATTCCTAACCCACCTATCTGCCTCCTTTAATCATCAGTATTCTTCTTGGCTACATTCAAAATTCTATTTAGATTCTTCAAAAACAGAACTAAAAATCATACATTTAAAAAGTGTTAAAGCTTTATCAAATTTCAACCCTGAACAAGAACATAGTGGGCCAGATAAGCTCAGGGGGGAGAGGGGAGGGAGGAGAATCGCCCTAGAAATGTTGAGGAAAATTTAAAAGTATAGCTGAGCTTCCAAAACCAGGTCTGAAAGTGAAAAGGGAACTGAAAACCCAAGCAATAAGCCCTGAGCTGTCAACTTAGACTGTCCTATAAATGTTGGGGTCACATAAGAGCTTGTGTTTTAATTTCAAAAAGAAGCTGAGGTCTTAGAATCTTGCAACATAAAAAAATTGAAGAAAAGAACTGGCTAAAACTACGATTCTTGAAGCTGCATCCTTTATGAAAGGAAATTAGCGGGGCTAGGGGGGGAGGGGGGAATCTGCCTGTAGACAAAGGAAGATGACAAGGAAGGTTGTCTGCCTCAGCCTGGACTCAGTGGCAGTGAATCTGTCCTCTCCAAGAAAGAATCAAGACCTTACCTGCAGGTGGATTTGGGATTTGAATTTACACTATCACCTTAGTATGGGACAATCAAGACAGGAAATTAACACAAAAATGACCCTTAAAAAGGATACTCCTGAGGCACTTGAAAGAACAAATTCAGCCTGAACCGGTTTGGCTCAGTGGATAGAGCATTGGCCTGCGGACTGAAAGGTCCCAGGTTCAATTCCGGTCAAGGGCATGTACCTGGGTTGTGGGCACATCCCCAGTAGGAGATGTGCAGGAGGCAGCTGATCGATGTTTCTAACTCTCTATCTCTCTCCCTTCCTCTCTGTAAAAAATTAATAAAATATATTTTTTAAAAAAAGAACAAATTCAGAATCTCTCCAGAGATAGTGCTTAGCACAGGTAAAATAAGGCCTACTGATAAAGACCCACTGAAAATGTACTCAAAATAAAGACTTAAAGCACCTCATGAGCCGAAACCGGCTTGGCTCAGTGGATAGAGCGTTGGCCTGCGGACTGAAGGGTCCCGGGTTCGATTCCGGTCAGGGGCATGTGCCTGGGTTGTGGGCACATCCCCAGTGGGAGATGTGCGGAAGGCAGCTGATCGATGTTTCTCCCTCATCGATGTTTCTAACTCTCTATCTCTCTCCTTTCCTCTCTGTAAAAAAATCAATAAAATATATTAAAAAAAAAAAAAGCACCTCATGAAATAATGCAACATGAGTGAACATCAGCAGAACTACAAACAGCATAGATGGATGGCTGAAACTTCATATATAATTATCAGGTAGAAATTATTATATTTTTAAATTATTAAAGATATAAAATAAGGAATTAAGTGCCTAGCCTGGTACTTAGTACTAAGGATATACTACAGGGAGAATAGAGAGTGACACCATCAGATTAATAGCTTGAGATCAGGTTGGTGATTTTATGAGAGGATTTGGAAAACCAAGACTGAAGATGGAAGGCTCTACAGTAGTCAAAGAAAGAAACAGGAAGTGATAACAGGCATAAAGCAGTACAAACAGAATTAAGAAATATTTATAAAGTAAACTACAGAGCTTGGTGACAACTTGCTTGTGGGTTGGAAGGCACAGGGAGAAGTCTACTAGTATAATAACTCCTAAATTTCTATATTAAGTGATGGTTGATTGACAATGTCATAAAATAAGAAATATGGGAGGAGGTGTCAGAAGGAAAAAGGTAGGTGTAGTCTTGGCTATAATAGATTTGAGGAGCATCCTTATTTAGATGTTGAATAATAAGAAATTGGATATAGTAATCAGAAACACCTGAGTTAGAATTAGATTTTTAAGTCATGAGAGGAAACAATCTATATGTCAGTAACTCAAATTGTCCACAATAAATAGAGATAAAAATCAGTAGACAATGAAGTGAATCACAAGGAAAACTAATATTTATGATATGGTCAGAGGATGAAAAGAAAATCCAACACAGATACAATCACAGAGGTTTAAAAATCAGAACACATATCTACAGGATACAGAATTTCAAAAAGGAGTGATTATCACTATTTAAAAGAGCACTAAGGATGAGTAAGATATGAAAAGTATTTATTGGATTTAGCAATTAAGATATCATTGGTGTGTTTAGTAAAAAGGTGGGTTTTTTTTCTTGATTAGATGTTAAGTACAGTGATGGGTGAGATGCAGTGGGCAGAGAATTAAGAGGTGAGTGAAGTATTTGTGTGTGGGGGGAGAGGGGGAAGAGGGCAGGGAGTGAGAGAGGAAGAGGAAGAAGACTGCTGAAGGAGAGAGGAGGGTAGAAGGAGGGAGGGAGGGTGGGTCGGAGCCAGGAAGAGAAAGAACTGGAATCCCTGAAAAAGAAAACTAAAACAATGGGACAAAATGAATAGTTCAAGATAATTCAAGAAAATTTCCATGGGGGGGGGGGGGGGACATACATCTACATATTGAAAGGGCACATCATATACCAGAAAAAAAAAAAAAAATAGCCTAGAATGATTTCACAGGAGACTCAATGCAATAAAATTACTGGATTCTAAAAATTAAGAAACAAACAGGAAAAGAGATCAATCAATTTTGAAAACGAAAAAAAAAAGTTCTGGCTAGCCTCCTATTTCCCTCCAGTGGCATTCAATGCAGGATAATAGAGCAATATTTTCAAAACCCTTAAGGGAAGCCAAAATGTTTTTCACTATGAAAGCTAGAGACTTACAATTTGAAGATGGAACAACTCAAAGAATACTGTTCTCATGAGCCTTTCTTGAAGAAACCGCTTCAGCAACCAAGAAATGACTAGGAAAACTGTAGCAAAAGCACTGGTGATAAGCATGAACTATATTTAACTACAAAAGTAAGCCTAAAACACACTCTGACAATGAGGAAAAGATTTACATTAAGACAAATTGGAAGGAGAAAGAGAAAAGGAGGTGGGAGAGGTAGAAAACATTCACTAGTTTCATTTGTAAACGGATAGTTAAAAGATATCCTTTAAAGCTCACAATTAAAATTGGAACTAGAAGCATGATTAACGTTATAAAAGTAAATACTAAGTAAGATAATATAAAATCTGGTAATGGAGGAGGGGTTAAGGAGGAAGAAGGAAAAAAAACATGCTAATTTTTATCATAGCAAGGAACAAATGTCCAAGGAAATAGAGAGTTAAGGGTACTATATAATGCTATAATGAGAAAGGTATTCCTTGGAATTAAATACACATTCCTAAATATCAGTAGTACATGAACAAATAAAAAGTAAAGTAGTAAAAGCCTTTCTTAAAAAAATAAAAATATTTGGCTTACTTCACTTGAGATATTCAGATTGAAATTTGAAAAAGCAAAACTCTGAAATCTCAAAAAGCAAACCCCCAATGCTATTGTGAACAATGCGGGGGGGGGAGGGGGGGGGGGGGAGGAGGGCCGTCTCTGTAATAAATCTAACTGAAAGTAACCTGACAGGGTGATCCTATTATAAATTCCTAACTGGTCAGGTCATGGTAGGTAGTCATGCCCCACGCCTATAAAAGGTTTATTTTTACATTAAGCAAACCCTATGCATTGTTTTTGTGCATCTAGGTTAACATACCTTTGAAGTGTCTCTTTTTTGAACCTCTTAGAAACATAACCACCCCCAATGGAGCACATAATCTTGTTAACAATCCTAAAATCCAATCGTGGCAATATCCCCACCTTGCTTTTTTCCCCACCTGCATTTAATCTTCCTTACTCTCTCCTTTTTTCCAAATGTATAAAAGGAACTGCAAAACTGCCATTCTCTTTGGCACTTGAGATCTTGCTTCCCAGCATGTCATCAATTTAACTCAAATAAACTCTTATAAAAATTCTCTATAGGTTTCTTATGTTGACACTATGTTGTAAACAAGAAACAAATACCAAGTGATCCAGAAAGACTGAAAATAGAATGATAGACAAAAGTATACCATGCAAAAAAATACAAGGGATTGTGATCTTTCTATCAGATAAAGTAGGA